CTTTATTTTGTTCTATTCATCGTCGATATAAAAGAATATATTTCTTATTATTTAATTTCTTCTTTGTTTAATTTTTCTTTTTTCTTTTGTTTTCTTCCCCTTTTTTCTGTTTTCAATAAAAAAAACTTTCTATTTAATTCCTTGGTTTATTTATTCGTTTTGGGGTTTGCATTTGCTATTATCCATATAGTTATTTCCAATAATATTACTGATAAGCTTTTATTATTATTATCAACAAGTTTTTTTTTTTTTTTTTACTCTCATTATCATCATTATTATAATTTTTCTTTTATTTTGGTGCGTCTGTACTGATGGGACTACTCATCATGAAGTAGCGGGGGGGGGGGAGGGGGGATTCGGATTAGAACAAACCAGCCAATTCTCTTTCGAATTTATACTTCCACCGCTGCGGTTTGTATTTATACGAAGGCCGGTTTAAAAATGGATTGATAAAATCCTACATGACAACCCAATCCGCTTATCACCTCCAACCGGCCCTGTCGTGAATATTGACAAAAATATCTGTGTTTTGGATATACATGCGTGAGTAGGGACGTTAATTTTACACACACACACACACACACACACACACACACACACACACACACACATACATACATACATACATACATACATACACACACACACACACACACACACACACACACACACACACACACACACACACACACACACACATATATATATATATATACATATACACACCCATATCCCCATATATCACATTTCTTTTAGCCTATACATCTAGACTTTTCCTGGCTCCCCGATTCGAAATCTTTCACAAAGGATTTTACTCAATCTGTTTGGTGAATTGGTAAGATTTTTTTTTCCCTTTTTTTATTTCAAATTCGAAAAGTGCTTTCCGACGCAATAATTCTCGTTTCATCTAAATTTTTTTTGCTATCCTTTTTTGATAGCATTTTAACCCCGCGGCGTTTACGACCTTCCGCGGGAAAACTGAAACTCGATTAGATTTTTTTATTTTTTTTTATTTTAATCTTGATCTTTTTCATTATATATTTTTTTCTCTTTTTCTTAATATAAACATATGTGGATATTTTTATTTTTATGAATTAAGGCTGTTATAGGGTTTAGATATGATTATGTAAATGAGTGAATGAGATTAATTGTGATGCAAAGGTATATAAACAATATAGTATTGATAACGATACGGAATTGTTAATGGGTAGATAGATGCATAGGTAAATGAGAATATCCATAGGAATAGATGGATAAGTAATTCGTAGTAGTGATGAAATTATTTCAAAATAGTCACATAACAGAATATATTTCCTTCTTGACTAATCTGTAGGACATAAGTTCACTTACATACATGTATATATACACCCATAAACACACACTCATAGACAAACGTATTCTCTCTCTCTCTTTCTCTTTCTCTCTCTCTCTCTCTCTCTCTCTCTCTCTCTCTCTCTCTCACACACACACACACACACACACACACACACACACACACACACACACACACACACACACACACACACACACACACACACTTTTAAACTACCCATACCCACTAACCCTCTTCCCCCCAAAAAAAGAAAAAATAAATAAATAAAAAAAATGCATATATATATATAATTATGATTATAACCACTCTTTTCTCTTTCTCTTCCCCAATCTCCCACCCGCAGTTCTGTGGACCCCCGTCGCCCCTACATGTCTGCGGGCGTGACGAACCAGCCTACTCCGCCGCCTTCATCTTCGACAGTGCCACTTTTTCGATGTCAGGAGAGCAGCACCGTCTCCACTGCTACTGCCCGCCGCCCATGACCCACGTGCGCGCCGATATGGTCGAGGACGTGGTGGACGGGGAGCTCATTATGGCCACCGTGCATGCCTGCTCAAGGGTAAGGAGTGGGGTAAGGGGAGTGGGGTGGGTGGGTGGGTAGGGGTGGGAGAAGGGGATTGGGTTGGGGGGAGAGAGGGTGTGGGGGGAGAGAGGGGTGGGAGTAAGGGTGGGGGGAGGGGGGAAGAGGTAGGGATGAAAAGGGGAATGGAGGAAGGGATGGGGAAGGAAAGGGGGAAGGAGGGAAGAGGTATACGTGTGTGTGCTTGTGTGTGACTGTGTGTGTGTGTGTGTGTGTGTGTATGTTTGTGTGTGTGTGTATGTAACTCTGTGTGTGTGTGCATTGGAATACTTCATGATGAACAATATTTAATTATTATTATCATCATTGTCTTTGTTGTTGATATAGTTGTTGGTATTTTATCTACTAGTATCAGACTTGTAATCATTATGATCATCCATCAATAAAATCTGAATGACCAACATCAACAGAGCTTTAGTGAAGAAAGACAGATAAAACACGTCACACTCATAAGGCATTTTAGCAAAATAATGAACCTAAACAAACAACCAACTACCTAAATGAGTAAATAAATTTAAAAAAAAGATAATAATAAGGACAATAATTATTTCATAACTCTATTTCTCCTATTCATTAGTTCCTTTACTCATTTTTTTCTCTCTCTCTCCCTTTTCCTCCTCCAGCTCCCGACGTGCACGGAAGAGACACCATGTAAGGAGGTGACCATCGCCTCTGGCACTGCCCTGGTCTACCCGAAGTGCCGGTGCCCAAGAGAACTCTCGTGCCCTACCCTTGGCACTTCCGTCACCCCGCACACCAACAGCTACCCAGGGGGCTCAGCATACTCGGTGTTCTGCCAGCGGCGTTTCTAATCGCGTCCTCTCCAGCTGATGATTTTGTTTTTTTTTCTTCCGTCGTGTTTTCCCTCTTTGTCTCTTTCCGGGTCCCAGGTCGGCGCTCGGTCGCTGCCGTCTCCGTTCTTCCTTTTCGTTTCGTCGGCTTGGTGGGTAGGGGGGGGGGGTCTCGTGTGGTATTCTGTTGTCGACTGTGACGTGTTTGTTTGCTTGTTTATTGGGTTTGTTTGTTTATCAGTCTATTTTTTTTGTTTTTGTTTTTTCTAGGTTGTTCCCTTTTTGCATCATTTCTTTTATTCCTTCTCTATGTTTTTCCGTATTTATCGGCTCGAGTTAAAGCCATAAAGTCTTGTCCGTTTTAAGTTCCCTTTCCTCACTCTCTCTCTTCTCTTCTTTCACGGGTTTCATTCAATTATCTTTCACCTCATTTTTCTTTTCTTCTTCTTTTTTCCTATTTACTCATCCAATCACTTATCATTTTCTTCTCCTTTCTTTCCCCATTTACCCATCCAATTACTTATTATTTTCTTCTCCTTTCTTTCTCTATTTACTCATCCAATTACTTATTATTTTCTTCTCCTTTCTTTCCCAATTTATCCAATTACTTATTACTTTCTCCTTCTTTCTCTCCCCCTTTTTTACCATCTTCCTTTCCCGCAGCTTCCCTATCTCCCCTTGGTTTCAGCGGGGTGGCGGCGTCCCTGAGCAGGTGTCCCTAATCGTCCGCCGAGCCACAGAGCGCGTGTCCCTTGGTGTAGTTTGGTCCCTGGCGAGGGCAGCGGGGCATGGGGGGGGGGACAGGATGCCCACACCGCGATCAACACTTACCCTGGAGCGTTGATTTTTGGGTGTAGAGAGCTGTTATTATTTACCTTTCTTTTTTTTTATTTATTTATTTATTTATTTTTTCATGGTCGAGCGTGGATTCTGGGGAGTAGAGATGTTATTATTTACTGTTTTGTTTTGTTTTTTTTGTTCTGATAATTATTTGTTTTTTGTTTTTGTTTGATTGGGTTTTTGGGGGATTTTGAAGGATGCTGGGCTTGGCCTGTGAGGTTGACATTTTTTTTTCTGCTGGAGGATCCACGTGTGACGAGAGAGAATAGAAAAGAAAGAAAGAAAGAAAAAGAAAGGCAAAAAAAAAAACACACACACGTGGCAACAGATGCGTCTCTGGGCAGCGGACGGATAACTCATCTTGGCTGGATTTTTATTTCATTATTATTATCATTATCTTTCGTTGTTGACAAATGGTCTCTTCTCTATTTCGAGACCAAGGATGTTTTCCGGAAATTGGTGTGAATACATGTCGCATGATATTTATTGAGATGTTAAGAGCAATAAATAGAAAGTATAGACATAAACTGCATAAGATCTCATATAAAGATATATATATATATATATATATATATATATATATATATATATATATATATATATATATATATATATATATATATACATACATATATGTGTATATATATATATATATATATATATATATATATATATATATATATATATATATATATATATATATATATATATATACATATACAAGGCACACATAAATATAGAATGATCAATACATTTTTATTTCACCCTCGCAATCTTCATTCTTCGCGCCTCGTCCTTACACGGCATTGGTGTTCCTCGAAAGAAAAAAACAAGCAAAAAAAACAAACAAATAGAAAATGAAGAAATAAAATATCTCCTACCACGCACACACACACACCTGGGCCTGAGCTGTTGGTGAGAATCTCATCAAGGTCTATTTTCCCATTACATGTGCATCATAAAATGTACCTTATGAGTTCTCCCGAGCAGCTCAGACGCCAAAACGTTTTTTTTTTTTTCTTATTTTTTTTCTTATTATTAGAAAGCTCATGAGGAGCTTCTCCGAGGCTGGATAATTTTGTTTTCCATTTTTTTTTTCTTTTCAAAATATTTTTTTTTTCATCTTCTTCACTAGACACATGTAATTATATAAACCTTCTTTTTCATGAAGGGAAAATCATGATTATAGATAACAGGTGTGTAAACTACAAAGGTCCGTAAAAAATGAAAGGATGCCATTGAAAAATTATTTAGGCATAAATACGGCCTGCCAGTTAATTCTTATTAGGCCTACTGATTAAGGCTCAAATATTTTTTGTTTTTTCTTCTCTGACTGCCATTCCCGATTAAAAAAAAAAGATGGAAGATGGAAAAAAGAAGATATATGTATATGCTGTAATGTATGGCATTCGTTGTCCACCAAATAAGAAAAAAAATCGCCGAAAAGAAGAAAAAA